ATGATGAATTTATCCGCGTTAATTCACAGCCTCAGGTGCTCTCTGCTGCGCATTGAGAGTAGACTGTTGCAGGCGGTCGGACTAGAAGCACAGTTGGGTGAGTGAGCTGCTGCTAATAGCCTCTTTTTACGATGGGGTCATTCACACAAACATACTCATTAAAGACATTTTTCATTTAATACCACCAGACCGTGTCGTGTTGCTGTTTCGGTGGAGTTAAAGTCGTAGTGATTCCTGTAACGTTGTTTCCTTCTGCGTGCAGCTCCGGGTCTGGCTGTGAACGGCCCCAGCCTCCTGCCTCAGCTCGACCAGGAGCAGCAGCTGGAGGAGCAGCAGAGCCCGGAGCAGCAACCCGGCCTCTTGGACAGCATCATGTGGATGGCAGCACCCAAGAAGAGGCGCACAATCGAGGTCAACCGCACCAGGAGGAGAGCTGAGAGCAAACTTATAAAAGTCAAGGTACGCTCCGCAGTGACTGGATGATCTCATTGGGTCATTTCAACCTTTAAACCAAATTATAGCTACATCTGTCTTACTGGTACCTAATTTTACTGCAAAGAGGGGTTTGATTTGTGGCAAATAAACCATTCAGTACTACGAGTCACTGGTAATATTTAGGATTTAAGGAGAGCACCTCGTTCATTAACGTTGGGTCCAGCTGGAGTGACTTCCATAGATCACAGAGTACAAATGAAAGTGTACTTTGTGAAAGATACTAATATTTTAAACTGAATCCAAAATCTTTCTAGGAGGCAAAAATTTTAGCTTAGCAGAGCGCACGGACCTATAAAGGCAATTCTTCTAAAGCATCATCTAATTTAGCTGCAAAGTCAGTGAACTTTGGCCCAAAATACAGTATTTGAAGTATTTTTTCCTTCGGAAATTATTTTTGTCTCCCAAAGATTTTTATTTATACTTCTTCAATTGCTGTTTCTCCTCTTGAATGTGTCTGATCAAACTATCTAAACAGATCCAATTACGGAGAAATTAGATTATTTTTATTTTACTTTAGTTTCATGCTTGCAAGACCTGTGGCATCCCCTGGGTCAGTCCTCATAGACTCCCAGGTTAAAATGTTAATTCTTGTAAGCCTATTTTCCGACTCCCTTAGGGCAAAAAATCCTTGAGTGAGGAATTTTCTTTGGTCTGAACTCAATTTGTACACTTTTTAAAACACAGTTTCATAGAAATTTCGAACAGAATAAAATGATATTTTGTATTAAAGCGCTGAGAGTTGAGTTTCATTTAAACCTCACCATGAAAACAAAAAAATGACACTATTCAGCTCTACAACTGTGTAATAGAAGGGAGCGTTGTGACCATGTCACATGTGATAAGAAGCTGAACGGGTCACACTAATGTCAAGTGGCCACCTTCAATGTGTGTGTGGTGCAGCTCTCCTGTTTGCTGGACAGAAAGAAAGAAAAATAAAACTAGCTTTATTTTAAAGTGATACCTAACCCCAGTGATGTGTAAATGCTACCATTGATGTATATAGGTAGTGTTTACTAAGACGTGACCACAAAGTGTGGTGCAGGAATATCAAAGATGATCAGAAACATTTAGAGAAGCAGTCGCTTGCATCCATTGACCCCGTTTGCTTTCCCCTGCACCCCTCTCTTCCTCAGAACAACATCGAGCCGTGTCCAGAGTGTGGCCACTTGAAACAGAAACACATCCTGTGTGGCTTCTGTTACGCTAAGGTGTGCAAGGAGACCAGTATGATTCGTCATCAGATTCAAGCCATGGAAGGAGGCCCATTGAAGGCCCCCACTGTGGAGACTGTGGTCTTATATGAGGGGGAAATCCCAAAGGAGCAGGACAAAGACAAGAGGATAGTGGAGAGGCCCAGGAAAAGGCCTGCATGGTTCAACTACTGAAGCTGTGTGTGACATATACCACGCCAAACAGCATATTTCAGTCTCTCTGGGTCAGTTTTTCCTCCACAAATTAAGAATTAGTTTGTTCAGAACTGATCCAGAGAGCTTAAACATCAGACACGTGTTTCCAGTAGAAAATTAAGCCTTTGGAGTTGATGATACCATAGTTCAGTTTTTCTAAAATCCAAGACTGTCAGATTATGGACATAATTCAACTGCATAATACTTTTGATGGTTTGACAATAAATTCCTTATTTGAAATAATCTACTTTGGGTGAAGGTGAATGACTTCTTCTGCTTCATGAAACAGGAGGAAACCTCCAGACTGTTTATGAAATGTTCTCCAGTCTTCTGAGCATTGGAGGGACGCCATTAATTCTTAAAAAAAATGAACATATTCTAGTTTATCAAATCCCATTTAAACCCTGTCGTGTGACCTCTCTCCTTAAAGTAGGATGAAAATGAACATATGCAATCACAATTATTAGTGACGAGAGGTGCTTTCACTATAAATGGAATAATGACTCAGAGTCTGATGTTTTTAAGATCTGGAACACTTAACATCAAATCATGAGTGTCACTGTCATGTTTACTGCTTTCTAATGCTTATCAGAGTCTGGCTGCACAATTGCTTGTGAAAACTAAGTGTCGGTTAACAGGATCAGACACTGGTGTGTACAAACAAGCAAGCAACGTAGCTTCAGCCACAACTTCCTTTAATCAGGATTCGGCATTAAACCAAAGTCATATAACGGTGGCTCATGTGTCGCTGGAGTAGACTGTTTTTGCTGGGATGAGTCCAGCATACCTTCCACTGCCTCAGTGTCCCTGTGATTCAGTTTCCCCCTCATAGTTTGATAAGACCGGGCTTATCAGTGTTCCACTGAAATTACTTTGGTTTACTTGGTTTGCACAGCGCTGTAATCTTGCTTGTTATGTTCTTACCAAATTCTTTAGCAAGAATTTAGTATATTTTTAAACAAATGCTTTCACTTGCCTTTTAATTAAGGCTGCCAAAAATATTTTAACCTTAAATATTTTGTAACATCTGCAGACATTTGTATGCAATCCATCAAATTAATCGTTAACTGTATTTGTGTTATCTCTCTTGCTTTATCAAATGAATGACACCTAAATTGCAGGTGTACAAAGGTGGTGAACCCGTGAACCGTAAGTGTACAAACGTATAAAAAATGATTTATTATTGGCAAGTGTGTTTTATCAGCACTGTTTCAGTATTTTGCCTATCATGCTAATTTCTAACACTTTATCTTCATTGAACTATTCTAGAGAAGCTTGAATTAAAGCTCAGAATAATCCTTATTTACCTCTTAGCTCCCCTTCCTTTAAAGCTAGATTTCTTTTGATTGGCTGCCCCTCATTAGCACACAGTTTGAGCAGCAGGTGGGAGGGGCTTCTGTGCTCACAGTCAGAGCTGTGTGTGCATGAAATGGCTTTATTAGAAAAAAATCCCCTCACACTGACCATCATGCAGATCCCAAACACGACAATTACAAACCCATTTTCAGAAAAGTTGGGAAGCTGAATGAATCCATTTTTATTCACAATAGAGCCTAGAAAACATTTAATCTGAGCTATTTTAATGCTTCATGAGCAATAGTAGCTAATTTTTAATTTAAAGGCAGCAACATGTCTCAAAGAAGATGGAAACTACAAACACAGCCAGAGGAACATTTCACAGCTAATTAGGTGAATTGTGAACAGGTTAGTAACATTAAAAAAAGAGCATCTTAGAGAGGCAGAGTTTCTCAGAAGCAAAAAACAAAATCAAATTGTGGAACAATTTCAGTGTAAGACTTTAAAAATAAAGGTCAGGTGGGTGCCTTTGCCTTCAAGCCGTCAGGCGACTCTCCATCAAACAGGTTTCTGTTGTGAAAATCACTGCATGGGCTCAGGAGCACTGTCTGTGAGCACAGTTCACCGTGCCATGCACAAATGCACGTTAAGCCTCTGTTATGTGAAGAAGACGAGGATCCAGGATCTAGAAGTGACGTTATCTCCTTTAAGCTCACTTAAAATGGACTGAGGCAAAATAGAAAACTCTTCTGTGATCAGATTAACTGAAATATTAAAATCTTTTTGGAAAACATGGATGCGCCATCCAGCAAACTAAAGAGGAGAGGGAACATCTGGTTTGTTATCTGTACTCTGTTCAAAGGCCTGCATCTCTGATGGTTTGGGAAGGCGTTGGATATTTCAACAAGACAAAGCTAGACTACATGCTGCAACTATGACAACAGGATGGCTTTGTAGCAGAAGAGTCCAGGTGATGAACTGGTCTTCCTGCAGTCTACACCTTTCAGCAACTGGGAACATTTGGAGCAATCTTGAAATGGGAAATGTGGGAAAGGAGACACAGGATTGTTGAGCAGCTAGACCCCTGTATCTCCTCTCTTGTTTTTCTTCAAATGGTTCATGTTCTCATTTTAAGTAACATCACATGTATGACAGGTCATAAGGAAAGGCCGGGTCCCTCTTAATTATTGTAGCAATCATCAGTATAGTGATAACCTGCCTTCCTTTATATCTTTCCATCTGAAATCAAAGACCTCTGTTAAACTCAAAGCTGCTACCACTCATCCACCATTTAATTACTAAGTAAACTGTTTAAGAACTGAATGCACTCTACTGATCTGCTGTAGCAGTGATGACTGCGACAGAGTACCTTTGTAGCGTGGTGATTTCAGCCGAGGACCTGACGCGGCTTCGGATTAATGAGTTAGATTGTGAGTGTCAGTTAGCGCTCTAAGTGCCTTCAGCTGTTTCCCCACAGCAACATGTGACACTTGAGGAGCAAGAGGCTGGATTCTCTGACCCGATCAGATAGGCGATCTTGCATTCATCTCGTTTAAGCAGATTAGTCATTTTATATTTCCTGTCATCACACAGAGATGAATTAACACGTCCCGCAGCTTTAAACGCACTGATCCTTACAAACATATACAGTATAAGAGAAAAAAGTGTATTTACAAACCCAAGAGACACTAAATGTGACTGAATAGTTATAGATTAAATGTTAATGTTTAAGATTACTACTTAGTTTTATCCAAGAGTACATAAAAATCTAAAAGATGAAGTCAGAGAGGTCCACGTTCAGCTTTCATTTGGATTATTCTGGTTGGATCACATCATGGAAAGAACTAAATTCCATTTCATGTGAAAAACAACCTTCAGGATGTCTTAAGCAGGGACATTCACTACGTTCACTACAATGTGACACAGAGGAGTAAAAATAGAAACAAGACTGGATATTTAAGACATTGGCCAACACACACACACACACACACACACACACTTCTCACGGTGTTTTGAACATACATTTAGCATGATTTGACAGATCGTTGTATCCTTTATCCCACGAGTTTTATTCATCTGTAGAAGCACCCACATGAAAGAGGACATTCATCTTGGAGCAAATTACTAACATTTGAGTTACAGACAAAACTGCACCATGCACTGTGTGAGCAGAGGAGGCTGCTACCTGGTGAACTCCTGGTGTGATCTTCGGGAGGAGAACAGGTGGAAGAAAGAGAGCTATGAAGCCTGCTGGGTGAGCCTCGTCCTTGAAACCAGACCACAGTACAGGTAGGTTGCTCACATTAGATACTGAGCTGTGCATGACTCACTAAATATACTTTGGAGGGTAAAATATTCTGTGTTGCGCTCATTTGAGCTTTGCTGTGTATTTGTAGTTTGTTGTGGTGTTTTCAGATGTAGTATTACACTGAAGCAGCCTATTTGCTCACTGTAATTTGGCAGTAAAGCCATGACATGGTGACGTTGTATTTTAACTTAGAGGGAATAGCAGTTAAAATCTGCTTTGCTCAGCAAAATGACTTACCAGGCTCTGATCAGTCAAGCCTGTACAGTGTGTTTTATTGCAGTTAACAATTCAGACGATTCAAAATGTGAACTAACACAGAGGCAGTGACGCAGCTGTATACAGCGTTAGTGTTTCACGGATGTAAGAAAAGCTTGATCTGTGTGTTGCAGGCTGAAGCTGTCAGAGAGCGACAGCATTCGCAGAGAGAGTTATAAACAGCAACAGGTGGCCCACTTCATGGTGGAGAGGAGCCCCAGCCAGATACTGATGCTGGGCAGCACCAGTGGAGCGATGACAAAGCACCAGCTACCCTTATTCAACACCAGCAGGGAGGTGGATCGTACTACAACCAGCTTTAGGGACACAGAAGAGCCTGTTATAAAAGAGAAGCTGATTGCTGGAGCAGATAGACAGGGAACAGGAGCCACCACAGATCAAGATCTTAGCAAGCCGGTTAGAGTGAACTTCAGGGCCTCGAGTCTGATGTCCTCTCCCAGGGAAACCTCTAATCGGGTTCAGAGAAGGGAGTGATCACAGCCTTTGTTGTAGCAGATTTCTTAGCAGTATTAACAAAATCAAATATTCTTCTAAAATTGACTATTTTAGAAGTACTATTTTTATGCACATCAAACTCGAGGATGTTATCTCACATGCTATACTTATATTTGTAGTAGTGTCATATCTTCAGCAGCTAAATAATACTAAAAAAAGATGTGCTATAATTTGCATAAAAGCTCTGGGTGCTGCAGAATTGAGTCTGGTGTGAACTGTAACTTTGTTCCAGGAGGAAAATGCAATTTTGTCACACCTGGTGATTTTTATGGTTTGTAAAGCTTAATTAAACACTTTCTGGAAGCTTGCTTCACAAACCTCAATCAATATTCTCGTGTCAGTTGTTTTTACACATTCCTCGTGCATGCACCTTTTTAATCATGCATTATGAGCCTCCACATAGCTAACGGATTAAAGTATATCTTTCCTGTATCTAAATCCAGATGAAGCTGCTCCTTGAAGCCCCCTCCCCCAAAAAACAGTCTCTATGGACAAAAAGGACAACCTACAAACTGAGTTCTAAACAAAAACAAATGTATTTAAATGACCACACAGAGTTGTAAGTGTCAGTTTAGCATCCAGCACTTAATCACCAAGGTCAAAATGAAAACATGGCAGCACAGAAAGGCCTGATAACCAAAGACAAATGCTACAGATTCAGTAAATCCTTTCATTGCATGTGTGAATGTGTGTTACAGTAACAAATTAAATGTGCTTTTTTTGATTTTACTTTTTTTTTTTTTACAACACATTATATTATTCAGCACTATTTTGCATACATGCACCGTCGGTTAAGTCCGGCGTCACTGACATTAGTGAGGTACCCACAAACCAGTCATAAGAAACATCCTCCCTGTTCTGCTCGATCATGAGATCAGGCTTGTTTTAAATGGAGGAAACTCAATGAACAGAGAGGTTGTTGAAAACAGAAAGTCCCAGAGTTGTCTTTATAAATATCTCCCACATCACTCCTTCAACAACAGACTTAAATTATCTACAAAAACATAATAATAGATTTGATAGAGTGTTATGGCATCCCTGAATTCCTATCTAAGGAATAAAAAAATTGTTCTTCCGACATATAATCTTAACTGACAATAATTCATGGCATTCAAAAATATGGACGTTAAATCGACATTTTTATAGGGGCTAAATTATAAAGTTTTATCATCTTCTATTTAATAAACCATGCATTTTTGTATCCAATATGGATATCACCTGATTAATCCTACTAATATTTCTGTTTTTCTTCAGTTAAATGAAATAAATCCTTATCTGAGCAGCTGAGGTTAACTGCTATAAGCGATATTAGTGCATCATCAAAATGTGATCAAGGGTGGAGTTTTCAGATGGTGATATTCAGCTTGTTAGACCTCACTGACCTTCTGTGTGTTTGCATAACATCCCTACAAGTAAAGGTTATTACACAGAGGGGATAAAAAAAACAAGAATTTTCCATTTCTAAACCACACCCTCGCCACATTCTTCAAGTCAAACCAAAACACCAGCTTAATGTTGCCTATTTGTCACTTTGTGTCTGAGTGGATTTTTCCTCCTAATATGGCTTCCTCGGCTCTTTTGTGTTTCTGGACGGTGATTTGCAGCTGCCAGTACTTGAGGTACACCCACATGAGGCTTCCGTTCTTCCTCCTGTCCATGTTTAGCAGGTCAGCACAATGCTTGTCTCTCTTAAAAATATCCTTCAGGTCAGTCTCTAGATCCAGGTCTGGCCCAATGGGATCTTTAACGACCTTAAGCAGCATGTTCTTCTCCATTTCCAGCCGCTGATCTCGAGGCTGGATGAGGGAGCAGTAGGCGTTCTGCCGCTCCACAAGTAAACCCTCCAACTCCTTCAGAGTGGCTGTGGCTCGGTTGTACCAGTTCTGCTCTTTTTCCAGAGCTTGATGCAGCAGAGCACCTGCAGCTCCTGATTTCACCAACTTTTGCTTCTCTTCCTCTAAGGACTCTCGCTCCTTGTTAGAAGACAGAATACAAGGTTAGTGAGTAAAGGCTATGCATTACAAAGGAAAATGACACAATGATAAAATGGGTGCAATGTTCAATGTAAAAGGAGGACAACAAAAGACATATGTGTGGCAGGTAACTGAGATGGAAGAAAACAAAGGTTTAAGACAGATTTCTACTCATTAGCTCCGTTATCCCTTATAAACCCTTCAGCAGATCTTTACCTGCTGTAACTGCTTCCTTTCTTCCATAAGCTGCTGGCTCTGTGAGACCAGGGCCTGCTTGTACCCTTTGACCCGCTGTCTCTCTTTCTCCAGCTCCAGCTCCAGCGTAGCTGCTGCTCTGCGCCTCTCGGTAAGAGTCTCCCGGTAACGGGCCTCCATATCACTTTTTATTGTAGACACATCTCTGTCATACTGAGCTTTCACCTTCTGGATCTCCCTCTGAGATTCTCTGGTCCAGATCCATCCTGAAAGGGCAATGGGATAAAAAAAAAAATGGGGAAGATGTTAAGTGATACTACCATGATTTTCTGAAGAGTAGAGTAGCTGGAGCTACTTATGAACTGAATTTTATAAAATCATGGCAATGACTTTATCTAAGTAACAGAGATGATCTATCATACAATCACACAGAGATCAGAACAGATGCATGCTGGGGAAGCACACAAGCAGTTGTAGGTTTTTCCTCTGCCCTATGCCCATCTTCCTAAAAAATTTTGGGAGGTTTGCGCTAAGTTTTATGGTGATGCCGATGAAGGCAGCGAGCCAGAATGTGTGCATCTTGTCAATAAAAAACAAAACAAAACAAAAAACAACAACAAAACAAAAAATTGTTCTGTATATTACAACTGTTGCAGGTGTTTCCCCCCTGTTTTACAGTATGTAAAGTTGTGCAAAAAACCTCTACTGTGCTTAACCTGGAAGGGTCAAAATGTCTCCTTTTAGTGGAATAATTTTTACTGATCTGCAGTTTAGTCTACTTCCCCCCCACTTCTGTGTTAATCATTAAATGCCATTTGGCATTCTAATGACAAAAGAGACTGTGTGTCTGTAAGCCAGACACTCACTCACTGATCATCATATTCTTTTGACTGCTCCCTTTAAGGGTCACCACAGCAGATCATTTGAAATTGATATGCTGTTCTACTCTGTTGTCTCATCCACAATCACACAGGTGAATCTCCTTGTGTAACTTACGAAATGCAGCCAGTCCCAGCATGGGGACCAGCAGGGCGTAGTTCCACTGGTTGCCATCGCCTGCTCCCGCCCCCCTTCCTCTGGGATCTGGTTGGATGTTCCATCTTGGGGGATCATTCAAGTTGTTCATGGAGGCCGCTGTTACACACACACAAACAAACACGAAGAGAGCTCAGCCCAAAACATCACCAACAATTGACTCTTTCTCGGTTTTTATTTGTGAGTAACATATAATCTCAGAGGTGTTTTCTCTTTGACACGTCTATAATTTACTCTGCATTAACTATCACATCATTTGCTACTGGCTGAATAAAGAGCAGTGAATAAACGCCAATGCATCTGCTAGGATGTGCAATCTGCAAAACAGTGTTTGGAATAAGTACTGGATGTGAAAGTGCATTAACAAATAGCTTTTTAGCATGAATCCAAACAATGCACCGGGCATGCAGGGCGAAAGGAGCCTCTCATGATTCGGAAGTTTGACAGCTGAGCTAACCATAAACAAAGCTAGCTATGTGCTACATGCTAGCCAACATTTGGCTTCGTGGCTCGTCATTGTGTTTATAAAAAACCACAACAGAACGAAGGGGCTTCATAGTTTTGCAATCCTGATAACGTGTCAGCGTACGCCTGTTAAATGTATGGAACTGTGTCTCACCTTGAATGAAAAGTGTAGGTCACTTGTGCATTTGTTCCTGCACACGCAGATTATACAATTTTAACGCTTTAACGTTCCACCTTAGCCGGCAGAGGGTGATTTTAAAAATTGCTTTCAAAAAGAACCTGTAAGTGTTGCAGTAAAAAACCCTGTATATTTACTCAGATGGTTTCAAGGTAATAATTTAATAATTACCCTTAAAACACATGGCTAAATGCTTTAAATAATAACTATCATATAAATATTAAATAAATGAGTGACCCCTCTTTTAGCACATTGGTTTAGTCCGGTCCGGCAGAATATGTGTTCCTCCGCAGCGCAGCAGGAACGATCCTTCGTCTGACAACATGGCGAGTGTCCGCGCGGCGTCCCGTCTCCTCTCCAAGAGGGTTTTATCTACTGCGAAAGCAGTGAGTAGTGAAAAGATGCTTTTAAAAGTTAAATATTTATATATGTAGTATATTGTTAAAGATAATATTTTATTTTCCCTTTTTTGTTTCTAAAACGAAGCTTTCATAACCGGCGGATTCTGACTTGCGTAATCTGTTATGTAGCTGGTGCTGTTTCAATGTGACACTATGAGCAAAGGTATTTTGCAGGTCCAACAAAATGATTTATATTATATCTATTACACTTCTGTTATCTCCACATTACACTTTGTTTCTAATGGCGACTGAACTTTCTGCCTAACGGATTAGATTTATATAGCGCTTTTCAAGGCACCCAAAGCGCTTTACAATACCACTACTTTCTGCCTAACCGAGACGTTTCGTCACCATGAAAGTCGTAAATGCCGCTGCCCTTGTGTAAAACAGTTCTAAGTATGTAGCCGCTGTTGTTAGCTACAAAAGTAAAATGGGGCAAACTGCAGATATATGACACGTTTAGACCGACGAAGATGAAAAATAACCGCCAAGAGCAAACGTCACTATAAAAATGGTCGTGCGTTTTAATGCTTTTTCTTTTTGTTTTTTGTTTTTTTGCTATGGGTTGTTTTGGTAAATGCCTTCACAGCCATTATTAAACATAGTGCTGTAAGGAGTCCCCCCCCCCCTATTATAAATCACTGCTGATGTCGTGGCACAGGTATAGCAGATGCTTTTGGTTGGTATGCTGCTTGTATTTTAGCAGATCATTTTTCAAAGGCAGGAGCCACCTGACAGTTGATCAGACTGTAACCTCCCTGTCACTTCTCATGTAGATCGTTAAACTTATAGTTTCAGCTTAACATTAATTTGTTCTTTTTTTTATTTCTAATGTGAAATTAATATAAGTTACACTTAAATTAAATGAATCTGTTAGTCATTTCTGCTGCTTTCTGACACTTGTAAGCATCTGATTGTTGATGCCCCACAGGTAGGGAAGACCAAACAGAAAAAAAAAGAAACAGATTATTTATTATTCACCAGGAATTATTCTCTTTTTTTTTCTTAAAAAAATAAAATAAAATCCTGCATATAAGATATCGAGCTATTTTACACCAACAGATGCCATTCGTTCTTTTTTTTTTTTTTTTAACATGGGGATCCTATTCTGGCAAATTTAAAAATATAACGATAAACAGCTTATTAATGTAAAAAGGAGATTTTTTGGTATACTTTCTACTTGATTCTACTGATAGAAACCCTGTAAATCGCCTGCATTCCCCAGTACATCCAAAAGTGACAGAAATAACAGAAACTAGCCAGGTGTAGTATTATTTACTCTGAATTTGCAGCAAGTCTTATACTTACCCACAGTACAATTTCTCAGGGGATCATGCTCGGTATATGAGCACACTTCAAGATGACCATTGGATAGTCTCAGTGTCCTCCTCTGTTATCGGTTGGCCAAGCAGGCAGTCAGTTGATCTAAGAGATGCTAGATGATAATTTACATGATAAATCATCACCTGTGATTTATATGATATTATCATTTTAGTGTTTAAGACCCTCCTTGCTATAATGTATAATGAGCTTCTTCCCAATATGGAGAGTCTGTATTTGCATCAGTGGGATTGGGGAACCTCTTTTTCACTGTGCTGTGAAGAATAAAATGTTGAATAGTCTTAATCACATTGTGTCAAAGGGCAATGAAGATCAACGGTCTGCTAGCTTAGTGTAAGTTGTTTACACTAACGTGATTTTGGGAAATTCAGTCATTTAGTGTAAATGGTTTATTCATCATGTGTGAATAAGGATATCTCACACAAAATTATTTTAATTACTTCACATTTTGTCAGGAAAGTTTAAGCACGTGGGGCACAGTGTTGTTGTGTCTGTTAAAGTGATGCATTAGTTCCTCCTACTGGCAGGTTTGTATACTTTTAAATTCAAGTCAGTGTTGAACTACAGAAGGTTTAAAATACATTTGCATCTGACAAGATCAGCTGTGTAAATGCTGGTAACATTTTCAGTGATGAATGGCTCAAAATATTAATGATATGAATTATGGGTTGTGGAGGTGCCAAGACTGAACGTTTAAAGCTTTAAAACTTCACTTCATTGAATAATCATTTGGTTGTGTTTATTAGCAGAGTCTGGTTTTTCAGTGTGTTTTATGTTTGGGATTAATTTTAGTTTTATTTAAGTTGCTTTTTCTTCTGCCAGGTCCCTGCTGCTGCAGTTCAAGGTTCCAGGAACTTCCACTTTTCCATTTATGGCAAGAAGAAAAATGCCAAAGTATCAGATGACGTAAGCCACATTAAGTTTGTGTTTTTTTTTTTTAATGCAGAACAGTATGTATATGATATGAAAACCAGGACTCCGCATACGTAGAGTACACTCTCATTGCTTCAAAAATGTTTGCAGTACATTGTCTTTTCAACTGGTTTCAGATCTCCACTCAATACCCAGTTGTGGATCATGAGTTTGATGCTGTGGTGGTTGGAGCTGGTGGAGCGGGACTGAGGGCAGCTTTTGGCCTGTCTGAGGCTGGCTTCAACACTGCCTGTGTCACCAAACTGTTCCCAACCAGGTCTCATACTGTCGCTGCACAGGTAAATCAGTTGTTACAGTAAATGATTTTGTGTGTCAGTTAGGACCAAAGTCTCAATCTCATTGCAAATATTTTACTAATCTTGAGTCATCAAGTAAACACGCATAATGTTTAAACTTACCTTGGTTAATAGGGTGGGATTAATGCGGCTCTGGGGAACATGGAGGAGGATGACTGGAGGTGGCATTTCTATGACACAGTGAAGGGATCTGATTGGCTTGGAGACCAGGACGCTATCCACTACATGACAGAGCAGGCTCCTGCAGCCGTAGTAGAGGTATGATCTCTCTTAGAAACACACTAACATGCATAACAAGTCATTATGTTAACTGGCAAGTACTAGGCCTTAAACAAAAGACATAAATGAGTGTGTAAGCCATGTGATCTTTAGGAATACCTCATTGCACAATAAAAGCCGAGCAGCTTATTGGTGGATTTAAATAATTATTAATTTATTTTATTTTTAATTTACACCAGATGGGGGTCATTCCACCCAGAGCTATGTAAAAAGACAGTTACAGCAGATTAGGAATTCATGTTGCTCTTGTTTCCTTTTTTTTTTTTTTTCCTAGCTGGAGAACTTTGGCATGCCATTCAGCCGCACTGAGGAGGGCAAGATCTACCAGAGGGCCTTTGGAGGTCAGAGCCTTAAGTATGGAAAGGGAGGTCAGGCGCACCGCTGCTGCTGTGTAGCAGACAGAACAGGCCACTCACTGCTGCATACGCTGTATGGAAGGGTGAGTACACATACTTTCCTACCTTCTTTCTGCAGCGTAATCTTTGTGTTGCCGAGGAGCACCAGTTAAGTGCCTCTGTGCGTCTGCCTGACTTGTCTTCAGTCACTTCGTTATGACACCAGTTACTTTGTGGAGTATTTTGCCCTGGACCTGCTGATGGAGAATGGAGAGTGTAAAGGGGTGATCGCGCTCTGTATGGAGGACGGGTCTATCCACCGCTTCAGAGCCCAGAACACTGTTATTGCTACTGGGTAGGAGATGCCTTTGCTTAAACATTTCTTCAACTGTCATTTTATTTACAAGCTTAGAAATAAGTTCTGTCTTTCTTTCCAGGGGTTATGGAAGAACCTATTTCAGCTGCACATCTGCTCACACAAGCACAGGAGATGGAAATGCGATGGTGACCAGAGCGGGTCTGCCCTGCCAGGATATGGAGTTTGTCCAGTTTCATCCCACTGGTGAGAAAAGAAACTTAATTTATTAAACCAAAAAATGTTGCTGAAGCATTGAGGAGAGTTTTATTTTGAAAGCGAAAGCTCCACAGGAACTATACAAATTCCCCAAAGATATGTTTGGAATACCTACAGTAAAGTTAACTAGTATAGATGCTGTATCAATAACAAGTCAATGTCTAGTAAGTGCAAATGTAATATAGTTAAGAGATTGGAGAGAAAAATGAATGATTTTACATAGTTTGGCCACCAGAGGGCACTCTACAACTTCTGTTGTCAACTTCTGGAGTCAGAAAAACAAAAACCAGCTGATCTGAGTGCAGTCTGGCAGAGCATAAAGGAGTAACCTACGACTTGTGACAATAAAACAAAATTATTTTTTAAAATGCATTGTCATATTATCTTAGTTGAATTGAACTGAATTGAAAGCCTTTATTGTCGTTATACATCGTATAACGAGATTAGAAACAGCTCTATAAAAGTGCAGACGTGCTTTAGCACATTAAAAATTATAGAATAATTTAACAATACACTTAATATAAGTATAAATACACAGTACAGTAATGGATAACAGAGACAGACAGGCAGAGAATTGATGATATTTCAGTGCAGATTACTTTTTGTGCAAGTTTGAGTTGAGTATGGTTATAGCTTTGGGGAAAAAGCTATCCCTGAGTGTGTTTGTTCTGGCCCGTATGGATCTGAAGCGCCTGCCAGAGGGCAGTAGGTTGAAAAGATGGTAGCCGGGATGGGTAGTGTCCTTTAAGATGTTTCTGGCCCTGCTGATACAACGGGAGTTGTAGACGGCAGACAAGGAGGCCAGGGGGCAGCCGATGATTTTTTTGTGCTGTGTTTACCACCCTCTGCAGTCTCTTCTTATCTGCCTCCGTGCAGCTGGCGTGCCACACTGTCACCGCATAGTTTAGCAGGCTCTCGATGGTGGATCTGTAGAAGGTCACCAGCAGCGGGGTGTTTAGTTGCTCCTTCCTGAGCACCCTCAGGAAGTGTAGCCGCTGCTGGGCTTTCTTGACTAGCGCCATGGTGTTAGCTGACCAGGAGAGGTCTGCAGAGATGTGGACCCCAAGGAATTTGAAGGACTTCACTCGCTCTACACATTCTCCGTTGATGTGCAGGGGCAGCTCTGTTCCACCTGAAGTCCAGGATGAGTTCCTTGATCTTGGTAATGTTAAGTGCCAGGTTGTTTGATGCACACCATTCTCCCAGTTTCAGGACCTCATCTCTGTAAGCCGCCTCATTTCCCCCTGTGATCAGCCCCACCGCTGTTGTGTCATCAGCAAATTTGACAATGATGTTCTCTGGGTGGGCAGGACTGCAGTCAATATGTGTAGAGGGAGTAGATTAGTGGGCTTAGTACACAGCCCTGGGGAGAGCTGATGTTGAGAGTGCGAGGGGAAGAGAGGTGAGGACCCAGTTTAACCCGCACTAAAAATTAACTACACATAAAAAATGTAAGGGAAACCTGTTCATGTTTCATGTGTCTAAAAGAAAAAACTATTGACCGATATTTCAGACTTTTAACTCACTAAATGTCTACATTTTACCCTGAAGACAACTTTCTTTTTCCTAAAGGTCATGTTTATTTTTGTTTTTCCTGGATATCATGATATCATTAAATATGGATGAAGTAGCACATGTGCCCTGTGGCATAGATGCTCCATCTTTGTAAATGCTTGTTGCATAAGGGCAGCAGACTTCGCCATGTTTTATGCATAACTCTGCTACACTGAGGGAAAACCTATGATTTAAATTGGTTGGTGGATATAGCAGGAAAAAAGTACAGTTTTTCACAGATTCTAGAGATAAAACTTTAAAATTGTGAGTGAAATTGCTTAACAGTACTGGGTCTATAAAGCATAATGTCTTTGGTTTTATTGACATTATATTGTGCCATGGCAATAAAACCTTGTGGATTTTACATTTACAGTGTTGACCTTGTGTTTCTTTGATGGGAATGAAAGCTTATAACTACTGTTGTTATTTATTCATAAATATTTGGATGTAACAGTTTTTTTTCATGTTTCGTGCTTACAGGAATCTATGGAGCCGGCTGTCTGATCACAGAGGGCTGCCGTGGTGAGGGAGGAATCCTGATTAACAGTGAAGGAGAGCGCTTCATGGAGCGCTACGCACCCAACGCCAAAGACCTGGCTTCCAGAGACGTGGTGTCCCGTTCCATGACCATAGAGATCAGAGAGGGCAGGTATGCTCAAATCACCTGTCTGTGTGATGTCTGTCAAAGCTTTTAAGCCAGTTCCTGTTCCTTACTGACGTTTACGTTTTTAATTTCTTCAGAGGTGTTGGTCCAGAGAAGGACCACGTGTACCTGCAGCTTCACCACCTGCCTCCTCAGCAGCTGGCCGCAAGGCTGCCTGGTATCTCAGAGACAGCCATGATCTTCGCTGGAGTCGACGTCACCAAAGAACCCATCCCTGTCCTGCCCACCGTCCACTACAACATGGGTGGAATACCCACAAACTACAAGGGACAGGTACATAATCTCTGCATGTGTCATCTCCACGCGTCGTGCACTAAGACTGTTGTTGTGAGCACAGCGGGCTTGCTTAGGATTTGTAATATTTGGCCCTTAGGTTATTACTCACGTCAACGACGAGGACAAGGTGGTTCCCGGACTGTATGCCTGTGGCGAGGCAGCTTCTGCCAGTGTCCATGGAGCTAACAGGCTGGGTGCCAACTCCCTGCTGGACCTGGTGGTGTTTGGCAGAGCTTGCGCCCTCACCATTGCTGAGCAGCACAAACCTGGTGAGAACCTCTGCTTTTCACAGAATACTTTATTAATCCCAAAAGTAGTGTATTTGGTTAAATTTATTACAATAAAAAGTTTCTTAATCTTAAAAAATAAGCATTAATAATGCAAAAAAAATCATAAAAACAACTGATTAAAACAGACTTAATATTTTCTGGTAAAATATTAGCAGAAAATATATCTGTTCTACATTCACATTCGGAGAAAAATCACTTTTGCTGTCTCTGTGTTCATGCTGACGTTGGCTTTTTTGTCTTTTCCTGTGCAGGAGAGAAGCTGTCCCCTCTGAAGCCCAGCGCAGGAGAGGAGTCTGTGGCCAACCTGGACAGGCTGAGGTTTGCCAACGGAAGTCAGAGGACCTCTGAGATCAGGCTCAACATGCAGAAGGTGGACATGCTAACATGAACACAGACATATTGATATATAAATTATATTTGTACTTAACTAATATTTGGCTTTACATGAATTATTTATTTTTATTATTATTAGATATTATTTATTATATACAACTCTACACCTTATCTGTAGATCTTTTCTAAATGATAATAATCATCATGAGCATTGGCCAGGATGACTTGATATCTGGATTTGATTACCACCACCACACAGGTTAAACAGGTGTGAAACACCACAACTGGCCCCTGTGTCATCCATGAGATTTCATTGTCGTGGTTCATTTAGAGTAACGTGTTTCTCTGCTTCTGGTTTCAGACCATGCAGACCCATGCTGCGGTATTCCGTACTGGCTCTGTCCTGAAGGAAGGATGCGATAAGATGGATGCTATTTATCAGACCCTGGAGGACATCAAGACCTTTGACAGAGGTACTGCACCACACTGCTGCTCTTCTTGTGCAAAAAGTTGTTGGAGTGTTACTTTGAAATGGGTTTGTTTTTTTTCCTCCCCTCTAAATTTCCTCCTCTCTCCTTCAGGCATTGTGTGGAACACCGACTTGGTGGAATCACTAGAGCTGCAGAATCTGCTGCTGAACGCCGTCCAGACCATCAACTCTGCCGAGCAGAGAAAGGAGAGCAGGGGAGCCCACGCCAGAGAGGACTACAAGGTCTGCGTCAACATGTTTAGCGTAAGGATGGAATTAATGTCTATACAATCTGCTCTCTGCCAACATTTCTTTGAACTGTGCTTCAGGAACGTGTGGATGAGTACGACTACTCTAAGCCCCTGCAGGGTCAGGAGAAGAAGCCGTATGACCAGCACTGGAGGAAGCACACTCTGTCCTTCGTTGATCAAAAGACTGGAAAGGTGATGACCCCCTCAGTGTGTGTGTTTGTCTGTGTCTTACAGAATAATTTAAACAGTTTTTGAAGCTATTGTCAGCTTCAGCTGTCAGTATCCTCATACTCCTTTGCTTTTAACCAATCACAGGTCACATTGGAGTACCGCCCTGTGATCGACAGCTCTCTTGATGAGCAGGACTGCGCCCACGTTCCACCTGCCATCCGCTCCTACTAAGATGATTCCCTCCTGCCCTCCCCTTTATTCCCACCCTTTGCCCATCACATCCACCTTACTCAATTACAGAAGGCTCCTTAATCTATTATTAAGGAAGCTAAACTTTCTGTGCTAGAGATAACATTCTGAGACAAATTCAGACTTTTATTGCACATTTGTATGCATTTAGATCTGTTCAGTACAATGCTGTCTATACCATTTTGTGTCACTTCCTGTTTCTCTCTTTCTCTTTTTTTGGCGTGTTTTGCCTTGATTTCAATCTGTTTGCAGAAACTAAATTTCCACATGGTTCTCATGGCTTCTCGCGCTGTGTGAGCAGGTTGTGTGTGCGTGATATCTTGTAACCTCTTTCTCCTTTTAGCTGAGTTGGAGAGATGATGGAAGTGATTGTAATTTCAACCACACACTTTGCAGGCAAGTTTGAAGTATGTAAATATTGCAAATGTACAATAAATATGGTGAGTTGTACTGTATGTACTAGTTAAAGTGCAAGTCTCACATCTCGCTCACTGTGGCCTTCATTCTTGTGGAATACTCATTACACTTTGTGCATGTGTTCAACACTTGCCGCTTGTTCTGTAGATAATCAGCTAACAGGCTGTATTTGGCTCTAGCGTTCTACAATTTCGCGCTATTAATATTAATTATATTAAATTAATGTCTTCAGCCACATTACAGCCTCTCAGCTATTGGGATAAATGAACTGCTTTGTTGCTTTTTTTAAGACTGAGGATAAATTTCAGTAAGGTGGTGTAGCTTTCTTCAACTCCTTAAATGACTTAAATATCAAAGGTGAAAGATGCGCTCAGTGTTAAAATGTTGATGCCTCGTGTGCTGAATCAACAGTGACTTAAGTTATTTGCTACAAAAAGTTAATCCTCTGCTTTTTGCTGTTTGTACTTTCGTTTTCATATGTTCAATAAAGTCTAGGCTGTGGATAGAAACGAACGCTTTTCTTTTTTTAAGCTTTTCTTTTAGTTTAGGTTTTAGCAAGTTTAAGACAAACACCTTCACAATAACCGTGAGAAGAATGAAACTGAGGAAGGGATTTTGTCACAGGTCTAAATATAAATGTGATTTTTGTCCAGTGGAGGGCAGCAGAAGCCAACATCCACATGTCACCCAGGAACAGCTGGTGCATGTTTGCTCTGCGGCTGCTCACTTGTCCTGCTATCATGACCTTTAGGAACATATTTCTATGTGTTACTGATAAGGGCCGGCATAATAATGACTGGATTTGTTCTGTAACAGCCTCACGGAGCTGCTTTGCCTAACTGTAAATGTAGTGGAAGGCTGTTATCGCTGAACAAACGGGACTGTAACCTGAGCCCTTCTCATATTCCCGGCAGCTGTACAAGCCCAGCTCGATGACGGCTGAAGTAAACAGGGTTGGAGTCAGGTATCACACTCCTGTTGGAACAAAGGAGAGGGTTTGTTAGGGGGAAGGATAAAGGTTGGTTAACCTTTATTTGCTGTGGCAAATCGGTTGCAGTTTAAAGTATGAATACATTTGATGAAAGGTGGATTAAAAAGGAAAAAGCATGGGAGGAGTCACTGTAACTGCCTTTACAGGAAATCATACTCGCATTCTTTACGTTAAAGCTCATACACCCACTCACATCTTGAAGTCATTATCAGCGTCTGGATTTTTTCCACCAGTGGGAGAAAAATGTTCTGTACTCATGAACATCCTCTAAAAGGAGTTAAAGTGTCGGTTCAAATAATTTAAAGGTAAATACAAGTAACTGGTAGACTGGGGGAAAATAAATACTACAATGGAAACAAATGAAAAGCTGTTAAATTGAGTAGAAGCTAAAAGAAGTCAGATTGAATCTCACCGAATCTTAAATATAGCATCCGTGTAACCAGCACATGCAATTTTTCCTCAGTCAGTACAGCTTTAAAAATTCTTATGACAATTCCAGTCTGTGATTCTCTTTTTAAAGCCATTTAAGATATTTCCCAAGCGCTGTTAAACAGCAAGCATAGTTTTAACATAGCCTTTTCTAAATATCCTGGTTTTATTTTGGATATTGTAGAAACAAAACTACAACAAACAGCTGTGTGTTGTCATTTTCAACAGTCCCACACATCCATTCTTTCTTGGCGACTCTCTCAAGGTCCCCACAAATTTGCAGTGTGATTCTAGTCAGGGCTTTGTGCAAGCCAGTCAGTAATACTCCCATTGGTTTTCTGGAGGTACTTCTACAGGAGCGACATATTTTGTGGCTCTTTGTGTTGTTGGAATACAAACCCAGACCCAGATTTGTGCTGAGTGCTTGCATTTATTTCTTTTTTTCTTATTTTCACATGTCCTTCTTTCTTCATGTTTCCCACAGCATAATGCTCCCACCACTGTGTTTCACTGTGGGGACAGTGTTCTTTGGATCGTACACCTCTCCCTAAGAAGGATCTCTGTGGCCAAAGAGCTCTAGTTTCATCTCATCTGACCAAAGGACCTGTTTCCAAAGAGAACCAGACAGTATAGAACAGTATGCTAAGGATGACCTTTCTCCTGGTTGTCAATATCATACTTCAATCTGGCTTCAGTCAAGTGAAGATTTTCTTGATCTTGCAGTCAATTCTTGTGCAAGGTTTTAGTGACCGCCTTCTTTGAGAGGACAATTCATGACTTGGCTAAGTCATTCACTAATGTCTAGGCAGTTGTTCTTGAGACACATTTCACACTAGTTTTCTTTCCAGAGTCTTTGAAATGTTTCACCTCCTACTTATACCAGGCTCGTTCTATAACCATGTGTGACTCGCCTTGAATTTCTTAAAAATACTTCTCACTGCAGTTCTTACACTTGGAAATGCTTTGACTACTTTGTATAGCCATCTCCGACTGTGTTAGTGTTAGAGTCAAATTGTTAAATGTTGCCATTATTGTACTTACATTTGTAAGTCTTAGTTCAAACAAAGACATTCCTTTGTTTCTGACCCCCTCCCCACCTGTTGAATGATGAGGGGAGCTATAGTGTAACTGTAGGCACATCCTATGTGAGGGTTCTGCTTTCTTATTTAGTGAGGATGTTTTAGTTCCTGCCCTTTATGGCCTCACCTGTGTTTGTGTATGGTGAGACCGATAGAGGGGTTAAGCCATATACAGGGTGGGGAGATTACCCTTTGGTGAGCAGGTCACACAAACGCACCCCCAAACACAAACACTCACGTGCACGTGCACATGCATACACATACACACACCTAGTGCCTGACACCATAGGGGAGTTCCCTGAAGGAGAGGAACGAGGTACAACACATAAGTATGGGATATCATGCCCTCGTGTGTCCTGGCTGAAGAAACCTTTAATCACGCCTTTAAGGCAGATGACGTGTGATGAGACGCGCACGGCCCCGCTTGCATATATAGCCGCTATCATCACAGTCATCCCTCAGTTCTTACGCTCTTCACCTCGCTGAGAACACCTCTGCTGAGTTGGGCTAGCTAGCTGCTGCTAGTTAGCTCCGTTGTCTGCCGACTTGAACTTAGCTTAACTCCCCCTGTTGGTGTTAGTCTCCACCACGCAGTTGGTGTGTAGGCTGCCCGCGGAGCGCTAATTTCAAGTTTTCCCGTGCAGCGTTTTGCTTTGTGTTTTGGAATGGACTCCAAACCGAAGCGAGCAAAGCAGAAATCTTCTGTTCGCCCCTGTCCTCAGGGATGCGGTTTCTCTTTGCACGACAGCGACCGGCGCGATGCCTGCCCTGTCTGCCTGGGGATCGTCCATGCTAGGAGAGCGTTGACGGAGCCCGAAGCCTGTGCATTTTGTCGCCAGCTCCGGCGCTCAACCCTGGAAAGACGGGTGACGTTTGTGGAAAAAGTGCTGGGACACTTGGCTGTCGCACGGCATGGAGCCGTCTGGAGCCCCGGCTTCGTCCGAGTCCGAAGACGAGGATTTTCCGGTCAATGTCCCCACAATTAGCTGGGCTGACCACATGGAATATGTTGACGGGTTAGCCGATGACGAGCCAGAACCATGCAGGAGCGCTGACGGGCTTCAGCCTGGGTTGAAGCCCGCCAGCGCTCCCCAGGACGATGATGACGTGCTGGACATCGGCCTGGACATCCATAGTTTGTCGGAGGATGAGCAGGAGAGCTCATTGTCGGCCCAATGTACTGCCGCTGCTGCGCCGGTCGGCCACGATGACACCTCTCTTTTCTCCCTGTTTCGCCGTGCTGCTGAGAAGCTGCAGGTGGACTGGCCCTCTCCTCCACCAGCTCAGAAGCCGTCGCGGTTCGCGGGGTTTTTCCTCCCACCGGAGCCCGCAACGGCCAAAAACTGCCTTCCCATGTTCCCAGACTTTCTCTGCGAGCTAACAGCATCATGGGACAAATCTCTGTCTACCCACGTCACTGTGCCCGGCTATGGACAGTACATGGAATTGGACGGCGCCGAGGGAGCTGGCTTAGCTAACCCACCCCCTATGGAGCCGTCTCTGGCTGCTTATCTGGCCCCGTCCCATAACCATGGTGGCGGCGGCCCCGCAACTCTGCTGTCCAAGCACTGCAGATTCTCTGCTTCGCAGCTGGAGAAGATTTATCGAGCTCAGGCCGGCACTGCTCGCGCCATGAGCTCCGTCACCATGCTCCAGACGTACCAGGCAATGTGCCTGGCGGAGCTCGGATCGCTGGTTCCTGATGACAGCCCGCTGGCACCTCTTCTTAACGAGGTCAGAGTCGCCACAGATTACATCCTCCGTGCGTCTCGCTGTGCAGCGCTCTCCCTGGGCAGAGGGATGGCTTCGACAGTAGTGGCACAGAGGCACCTGTGGTTGACCCTCTATGACGTCCTGGATAGGGACAGAGCTGTATATCTGGACGCACCAGTGTCTGCGGCTGGGTTTATTCGGACATCCACTTGCAGCCATTCAGGCTAGATTCGATCTGAGGAAGAAGCAGACGGAAGCTCTGCGCGACATCATCCCCAGACGTCAGCCGAAACCCAAGCCCGCAGCTAGCTCTCACAGGCCCGCCGCTCCTCTGCCGACTGGCAAGAGACCGGCGCCCACTGCTGAAATGGGTGTGCCGCCAGCGAGAGCACATCCTCCGGCCCGAGCTCCACGCCAGTCGGCCTGGAGCAAAGGCCCACCCTCGGGCCCCCGGCGGGACCCGACGCCCAGGAGGAAGAAGCCTCAGCCCTCCTAGCTGTGGTTTCGAGTGGAGAGGGGGTCCAGCAGCAGGGAGACACTGTTTTTACCCCTCTGTTGCCGCACAAGAGGTGCCACTTAAGTTCTGTTCAGGTTGTCAGCCCCAGAAGGCGCTGCACTTTCCTAACACTGTCTCCCAAGCACAAAACCCCTGCACACAAAATGCCTCAGGTAACTCCCTGTTCAGGTGTGTTAAATGTTCAGGTGACCATATCGAGTGTTCCCGCTATTTTTCATGGTTGTGCCCCAGAAAAGGTGCCTCCAACAAAATGTATAAATGTACATGTTTCCATGTTAAAATCAATAAAGAGTGTTGTTTATTCTCAAACAATCACAAATGCTCAGCCTGCAGGCAGAATGTGCCAGGTCAGGCAGGTGATGCAGTCCCCTGCAGACACACTGGGGGGTGACGACACACTGGGGGGCGACAACGCCCCGCCGACGGTCAGCCGGCTGGCTGCTGACTTCCCTCAGTGCCGCACTTGCGCCCCCTCTCCATGGGTGCTGCGAACTGTTGCCATGGGTTACCGGTTGCAGTTCCGGGTCAAGCCGCCTCGTTTCCAAAGAGTCGTAAACATGACTGTTAACACTGAGGCGGCCATGATGCTCAGAGGGGAAATAAAGGCGCTATTACAGAAAAGAGCAATACGAGTGGTCCCCGCTTCGGAGACAGACAAAGGTTGGTACAGCCGTTATTTTGTTGTTCCGAAAAAAGGGGGAGGGCTTCGTCCCATCCTCGACCTGCGAGTCTTGAACACGTATCTACGAACGTACAGGTTCAAGATGCTAACACTCAGAC